TATAGGAATATTAATACCTGTGTGTTTGCTTTGTTAAAGGTTCTCTAAGCGATGCTGGGCCAAAACATTTTTTTGTCACATACATCAAACGTCTCCTCACTATCGGCTAGCTGCCTGTCCCCTAAACACACTGTAAAAAAACGCGGTCTCTGTAGACACCACAGGCTCCACAAACGGCAACAAAAACAATCATGTCTTACCCGGACCACGAAACCTAACAAACAGTGTTCCAGCCAATCACTGGCAAGAAGTATTTGAGGGTGGGTCTGGGGGGTTAGTGCGCGTGCACATGAGGGTGTGTGTGTGTGTGTGTGTGTGTGTGTGTGTGTGTGTGTGTGTGTGTGTGTGTGTGTGTGTGTGTGTGTGAAGGAGATAGAAGAAGCATCAGAGGGAAGTTTGAAAAATTACCGACACAACCAAAGAGACGTCGTTCTGAAGAACAAATTAAAAAAGAAGATGGAGTCGGATAAAGAACGTGCGAAGTTCGAATTTACATCGGTAGCAAAGCTTTTGAACGATGGCGAGAACTCCGGCGGCAAAAGGGCTTACAGTCCGACATTCAGGTTGCTCTGTTTTTGCTGGACAGGTGGGTAACGTTAAATTGTTTTTTTTCTTCTAAATTGACGCTTATGTTCGCCAAACCCCACACAAGGATATAATTAGCTAGAAATGCACGTTCACAATTATTTCAAGAAGCACGGAAGGGAGGGGGAGGAGATGAGATGCGGAGGAGGGAGGGTCTAGCTCCGATTTGTTTGAAAATATTCGAACGTCAACACCCAGGATCGCTTTGAGAACCTTTAAGTTCTGAGCTAGATTACTGTGTTTCATACTAGTTAAACTCAACTTTCTTCTCATACTTGGGTGTGTTACCCTCAAGAATGTTGTCCCACCCTCTCTTTCAGAGCCTTTTCTCTCTCTCTTTCTCTAGTATCAACACATTGTTATCCATTATCCAATTGTCAATTTGTCAAAAATATGTAGTCTACAGCTGGGGATTGATTAAACTAGATTGTTGTATTACCTATTATTTTTTGTATTACCTATATTATAATTTATCAATATTATGCGTTTGCACTTTTTCTGTCAGCACACAGAGCATAATAAACATGCAACTTGTTCATTATCATTAACTGTCAAACTGTTATTATTATTATTGTATTATTTGACCATTGGTATTGACTGGTTTAAGTTATTTTATTGGTATAGGTAAGGGCATGGCCTAAAATGGCCTAAAATGCAGAAATCACATCTACTAAATTCATGGGAGGAAATCCCATCTACTAAATTTTCAAATGATATCCTTTTCCATTCCTGGCTGTTTTTAAAAAAAAAAAAAAAAAAAAAACTGCTGGGAAAGATCAGTTCTACAGCGAAATATAGATGGGCAAACAAGGTGGACGAGGAAGAAAAACAAGATAAAGAGAACGAAAACTAAAGATATACATAGATTTTGCTGGTTCGTTTTTGTAAGTTTGTGAGAGCTATTTTTTGTTACATTTGGAGGCATTTCTTTAAGTTATTATTGAATATATTTATTTTTCTAATACAGAATACATTATTTCTATCATTATTTCATTCGTTTTTTTATCTGTCATAATAAACATTGAGACATGAATATGATCACCCTAGTATAGTATTCTATTTCTGTCATTATTTCTGTTTTACATTAAGCGCCATCTAATGTCAAGGAATGAATTTGCATGTTCACTCAGCTCATCGTCAGCGAAAAACTCTTGGGTGTGAAGTTGTAACACATGGGTGTGAAGTTGTAACACCACAAAAAACGCGTTGAAAAACGCTGACGAATAACGCGCGCTGATATTCGCCCCGGTGTGTACGGGCCTTAAATCCACAAACATTTGTACGCAAAATAAATCGTGCCTTTGCATGAATTTGTTTACAAAACTAATAGTGATTTTTACTTAATTTGTGAAGAGTGAAAACCAAATTAAGTGTTTTGATAATTGAATTTAGGTAATTTAGGTACCTGAACTATGATGTTCATATTAAGTAATTCATATTTTCAAGGGATATGTTGCTTTGGATAAAAGCCTTAGCTAAATGATTAAATGTAAATGATAAATTAAACTAGGCATTGCAAAGTTTTTCACTAGCCACTTGATAGTCTGACCAAAAACTATTCAGACACCAGATATAATTTTTGATTAGTGTGTGCAGGACACTATAGTCCATTTATGGAAGTGAAGATTGCAAAATAAAGTAAACTATGATATAATAATACCCCCAAAAAAATCTTCATACAGCAACTACCAGTAAAATTTATAAAACTTTGGGACCAAAAATGATTCAGACACCTTGACCTGACCATGTTTTGCTGACGTGTTTTTCTTTAATTGCTAATGCAACAAAATGAAGCATTGCTTGGTCATCATTTGACATAAATTTGTGTATTTAATTGTGTACTTATATTTAACAGCTGAATTCAACCTAATTCATCTGTGAGACAGTATAAAACCAGTGAAATATTGACTGATTTGATAACTCTGAATTCTTATCATATTGTGTTACCATCTCCTAAACTATAGCGGAAAAAAAGTGTGAATGTGAGAAATGTTGAAGGTGTCTGAATATATTTGGGTTCGACTATTTCATCTGGACAAATTATACAAACGGTTGCGTTGGCATAATGTGTGTCCACCTGTTTATCTGCCGCAGCTTATCCACGATGTGTTCTTGAAAAAAACACTAACACGGTCAAAGCGTGTCATCGGAGAAGAGCTAATTGAGCGTCACTCTCTTGATGATTATGACTCTACAAAACTATTTTAAAAAATTTTGGGGGCAATTTTTATTCGAATATCTTGAGTTGCCAAAAGTCAGTGCCTCACTATTCACTTATGGGTGATTCTTTAACTATGGTACTTTTCTTGTCCCTGGATGAAATAATAAAATATAAAAAAACATTTCTTCTTTTTTGTTTTTCGTCAGACTTACTTCACCCTAAGGGGAACTTATAAAAAATGTATCATGGTTCAATCATTCTTTTTATTATATAATATGAGGCCTTTTATGCATGATTTTTACAGTTTTCCCCCTGTCCCTAAGCCAAGACTTTGTACCTTCAACCTCGCTTAATTCTAAATTAAATATTTAAATAATAGATTTTAAGTACAAATTATAAAATAATGTCTATTTAAATTATACATATTATATATTGCAATATTTAGTCACATTTTCTTTTATTTTTCATAAGTAGAAATGTCTACTTGGGTTCACTGTCATGTCTACATGTCCCTTGGGTTCACTGTCATTTCCGCCACACTGTACAAGAATCCTGAGATCATTGTTTTAGGTTTGAATACTTAGTAACCATAGCAACAGAAACTCCACAGTGAACACATGGCTGGGTGAAAGGGTGACCTCTTTAGTGGGTAATGAAAAGAAGAAAAATCAAGGTAAATATGACTAAAACTGAGAATATGTTTATTGGCCGTCATTTCCAAACGGCTCATATTTCACATGGACTTTAAAATAACTGGATAAAAATAATTTAATAATGTGTGATTTGTGTATATTAAATGCTAACTGTGAAACTAATATTAACAGGCTAACATAGCATGATATTTTAGAGGAAAAGGGGGGAAATGTCATTTCCGCCACAGTCATTTCCACCACGGTGTCCATTGTGGTGGTAATGACAGGTTGTGGTGGAAATGACATTGTTCGTGCTAAACAGCAAATTATTTTGGGCTATAATACTAAAACGTTAATGTAAAAACAAAAAAACATACAATTAATTAAGTTAAGGTAGTAAGAAATATTTTATTATTTATTATTGCTACAATATTGTTGGTAAATAAGAGAACTTGGGCGTTTTCTTGGGCTGTCAGATAAAAATGCCAATATATATATATATATATATATATATATTATTCAATACAAATCATCGCACCCAACTAAGGGAAGGTTTCTAGACAGATACTGATACTAAAAAAACAGTTTGTAGAAATGTTTTTATTTTCTGAAACTACATAGTTGAAGAATCACCCTTATATAGTTGATCCATTTCTATGTAATAATGTTCAAGATTCACCTCCTCCTCGTTCTTCAGGGCGTCAGACTGGGCCAGTCTGAACAAACAGTCATAGACGGGCGGCACCAGAGCCATCATGTGCATGTTGTTCACCTGCACTCGGCAGAATAAAGGAAAAACATATCAGGCACTTCATCTCAACTAGCATGCATTTCTGTAACAGTTACCTTCCTAATTCTTACTCTGTGAATTTCAGCATTAAAACGGAAGTACGGTTCACCTTGAGGTAGTCGAAGATGTTGCAGATGAAGGACACGAGGCAAACCCACTCCTGAGTGGATCTCGTCCGCGTTTCTTCTCTGGCTTTAAACTCCTGCTGCAATCGGGTCAGAAGGCTACGCCGAAACACGCTCCCGTTGCTCTGCTTGGCCTCGGCCTGAATCCAGCGAGGAAACTGCTTACAAGTCAATCCTAACAAACTACAAGCTAAAGGTTTACTTTTACATAGCATTCGTTTACCTGCACAATAGTGTAACAGATGCGTCCCGCCTCCCTGCTGAAGATCTGGTCCTTCAGAGACTGATCCACTATTACACTGGAAACTTTCTCCAGGTCAACTGAACCTGGGTCTGACAAGTACAAAAAAAGGCCTTTGATTTAACAACATTTGAGCACGGCAAACCCACTAAATATCAAACATATGGACCTTTCAAAGCCGTTTTGAGGAGTTTCTGAGTCTCCAAATCAAACGACTGGATCTTGTAATCTTCTTTAGAGGAGTTCTCCATTCTGAAAGGATGGAAAGAGAGTCTATCAATCGATAACTGACCTTCACTACCAAAGCAAATCTCTGAAGCAATGCACATTTAGTCTGAAACCACAATAAGGGAGAACAAATGAAGTTGAGCTACAATGAAAAACAAGAAACATGTTATAGAAAACTACCGGCAACCTCTCCTGTCTGCAACATCTCAAAAAAGCTGATTCAAATCATGACCATAGTGTAAAAATTAGGCTCAGAATTTTAATATAAAGACCTCAGATCACATTTTTTAAAGCCACAGTGAACAACACATTCTGCTAAATGTATATCAAATTGTATTTACACGACAATAAGCAATACGGCTGGGATCAAGGTAACATGTCACAGAAAGTGAGAAAGATGTGGGGGTGACATGTCTAATTATAGGTTTATAGTGATGTAGTTGCCAGATACATGTAGTTGATGGCTTAGAAGTAAGTTTTGTTAAATGTGAAACTAATATGAAGTGATTTTATGAGAAATGTGGCATAGCACATTACTGCCATGTTGTCATTGTGCTGAGGTGAAACAGATCATGTGTGAAATATGTGGCGTCATCAGTCTGACTTTGAAAAGGGAATCGGGCAGCTCGTGTGTTAATGGGATAAAGGGATTAACTTAGGACAACCGGGCAAACACCATCGGCTTCACACTTTCAACACGCACACGACAACATCGTGATAAACTGCTGATTAAATAACCAGGTTAAAGTCTATTGCAATCAAAATCTTTAGTGAAGGAGGATTAGTGAAGAAGTACGTTACGGTGTTTGTTTAGTTATCCAGAAAACGACCACATGTACGTCTAAACAACTCAAAAGTAACAAAAACCGCTCAATAAGACAGAAAAACATAGTCTTAAAAACAAAACAACAACAGACCGTCGCGAGCATTCATTCAACACCGTTCAAACCAGCGTGACAAGCGGATATCAAATTGTAAACAACACTAGTAATAGTAATACACATTTCCATAGTAACAACGTGGTTTTGGGGAGCGGTATTGCATGTTCATACGCACACAAAAACACTTACTTTAAAAAAAACCTGAGAAGCAAACAGGTAAATGTTACATATCTCAGTCCTCGGTTGTTCTCCTGCGGTCAGTCTTAGTCCCGTACACGAATCTACCAACCAGCTCTGTTTACTTATGAATATTAATTACGTATCGTGACGTTGATTCGGTTGACCAAACTGATTGGCTGAAATGGTTAATTAATGTTTACTACGTGCTCTGCCCCTTTTGGAAGGCGTTTGTGCAGCCATAGTTCACATTATACTCAAATTTAGTAAACCAAAAATGTATAATGAAGCATATATTTGTTATAGGCTACATTCTGATATGCAATTTACATGATGTAGGGTAAAACACACAATTTCTTTATTTGAACACTGAAAGAGTTAGTTAGATTTATTAGATTTGTGTCATTACATGAGCATCACTGTCTTAACGATTTTCTGTATTGTTGTACTATTTTTTTTTCTTCATCAAATTGTACATTGAAATCTTTCAAGTATTTGTAACCTAACCCCAATCAGAAACCAGTTTTTGTCTTGAATAACTCAGGGTCAGGTGAATTGAAACTAGTGAATTAGTTTCTTGTTACAGTAAAATACAGCCAAGACAAACTGATTTGTCTCTGAAGGATTTCACAAAGAGACAGATGGTAATTTCTCAAAAAGTGTGTAACTCTCTAAAAAAGTATTTGCTTTGAAAATTAAAATGGATCACTAAAAAGGTCTTAAAGAAACCAAAAATATGGCACCGTTGTAACAGCACTACTTCTACAGCTGGAAAACAAAAGTCTTCATAATCTAAATTATTCTCTAGTCTACAGTATGAGACTTACAGTAGCATCCACAAAGATCACATCTCACACAAAATGAAAATGTAGAACATGTTTTATGGTAAAAATATCAATGAACATATACATTCAATGGATCCACTTTTCAGCTTAGCCAACAACCTTTGATATATAGGCCAAGTCTTCATTATTTAACAATGAAATTACGCAATTGTCAATATGCGTTTTGGTACCATACAAAAATTAATGCTAGCAGATAATAAAGATAGTCTGTAGAAAGTGTTCCAACAATAAAATAAAAATAGAAATCATTGTTAGATAAAGCAAAACAATGAATTCTTAAAATAATACTTAATGATAATAAAATATAACAACAGGTAGGAGGAATTTATACAAGTTGATTACATGCTACTCCTATTTCCACCTTCAGTGATGACTGACATTTTTTATTGTTCAGTTATCACATTTTAAACCGTGTGCACAAAACATATTTTGTGTGCATATTTTGTAGACATAGTCATCATGATAAAGTTAGTTTTTCCATAAAAATGTATTATTTCATAAAGTCACATCTTTGCATTGGCCTTTTTTTTTCCAAGACTCGACTTTGCATGGAGATGTTACAGGTGCCGTCTGACACCACCTAAACAGCTTATGTGCTTTTTCCCTGCAGGGGAAATAAGTGAGCCAGGGAAAATGTATTTATTAAACATCAACAATTGAAATCCTTCTCCATTACAAACATTCAATGTCCTCTATGAAATAAACACATCTTCAAAATAAAATACAATAAAATGTCTTTTTTTGTCTTTCAGCAAATATTGAGTTATACGTTTTGTGTGATTGAATGTGACCCTGCAAGTTGTGTCTTTTCAACTTAAAATAGCTTATGTTAACACTTGCATATAAAACTTCGCTCTCTCTCAAAACGAACGAATCTTTTCCTGAGTCAACTTGTTCATTTCGTTCATTGAATGAACCATTTTTTAGATGAGCGATCGTTTCGCTTGATAAGTCCCTTATTCATCGTCTGGTGTCGCTTAAAGCCCTTTGAACAGTTTGCACTGAAACTGTCTTTTGGACCTTGAACCGTTTGGTTCCCATTGAAGTCCATAACATGGAGAAAAATCCTGGAATGTTTTCATCAAAAACCTTAATTTCTTTTCGACTGACGAAAGAAAGACATGGATATCTTGGATGACATGGGCGTGAGTAAATTATCAGCAAAAGTTTTCTTTTAAAGTGAACTACTCCTTTAATAACGAGGTAAGCGATTATGATTGGCTAAGGCCATGTTTCAGCCATTCTCATCCTCTTGCTCTTTAAGGTTCCCAGCTACTTCTCCCAGAGTTTCCATTTCATGGGATTCTTCTTTCTTCTCGTCCACTGTTATACTGATGTACTCTAGAGCAGGAGTCCCTTTAGAATCTGGTGACTTAAGATTTTGAATAAAACATATTTCAAACAGTATCTACATGACTGATTTTGAATAATACATCTGATTTTTAGTTTGTTCACTTTCAATCTCTGTGTATTTAAAAACATTGTTTTAATGTAACTTAATTCTTACAAAAACATAAATACTCACCTGAAAATCTTCCTTAGACTGCGTGCTGTCAGGTTTGCCTGAGATGTGGGAGAGGAATAGAGTTTCGAATTAGTTACAACGGATCAGTCTCAGATAAAGCACAGAGGCAACACATGCAAGAGTCAGAATGATGGAGGATTTATATTTTTGCAGACTCTACTTTCTTAGAGAACGGGGTGTACAGTACAAGATGTGTTGATCTCAATGTTAGGCATGTAACACAGAAGAGATGCCCGTCACATTTCAGACTTTGACACAACTACCTTAGTGAAAGCTGCCTGTATAGAGGTGGGTCTGACATGTGTCCAAATTCATTCTCAGCCATTATGAACAATAACTTATCCTAGGTGGCTTACAAATTAGGAAATAAGGAACAAGAATACCAGTTTTCAATTAGCAAAACAAAATATTAGACATAGAAGAGAAATGAAATTGTAGGTGAAAAAAGAAAGAAAATCATTTATTTTTAAAGAAATACCTTGATTTATGTGTAGCCTACACATTAGATAATGTCATACACTAACAGCGTTATAGTACAGAATGCTAAAGTCACTTCCAGGTCATACTCACATTGTGCATAGATGGATAAACTCAGCAGTGGTAATGTGGTGAACAGCCACTCAGATGGAACGACAACAACTCTTAAATCTCCAATCAGACGTTCACCTTTAACTGTGGATGGAGATTCATTTTTAACAAACATGTTTTGATAATGAAATGATGCTCCACTCACAGCCAGTGGGCTCCTGCATGACCTTATGAATATCAAAAGTTTTATAATATTAAAAGTTTGTCAACTCACCGCCATTTATTATCACTTCTGTCATCAGTACAACAGAGTTCGATAAAACAAGACCAGCTGATCCGAAGAGGAAAAACTTTTTTCTTTTGAGAAGATCTGCAGAGCAAAGTAGTAGGAAAAAAAATCTTAAAAAAAAGTGTTGTAGCCTACTGATAGAAGTACGCTCACCTAAAGGATTATTAGGAACACATGTTCAATTTCCCATAACTGCAATTATCTAATCAACCAATCACATGGCAGTTGCTTCAATGCATTTAGGGGTGTGGTCCTGGTCAAGACAATCTCCTCAACTCCAAACTGAATGTCAGAATGGGAATAAAGGCGATTAAAGCAATTTTGAGTGTGGTATGGTTGTTGGTGTCTGAGTATTTCACAACAGTGTTGGAGACCACCTCACTCGAGTCCGAGTCCAGACCGAGACCAGAGAGAGTCGAGTCCGAGTCAAGACCGAGTCCATAGAGAGTCGAGTCCGAGACCAGAGACAGTCGAGTCCGAGTCGAGACCGAGACCACTGAGGGTTGATTACCTAATTTACTTTTATTTACTTAGAGAAATCCTTTTTTTTTTTTTTTTTTTTTACTGAATTTACTTAGAGTTTAAAAAATATGATCAGTTTAGGGTAAAAAGGCCACATAGTAGGTGGTGTTAAAAGTAATTTTATTACAATTTGTCATGCGCAGTTGCGCACTAGAAAATCACCAATCACTGGATGTGTCAATCAATTTAAATAAATATTTTATTAACATTAGGGCTGTCGCGGTTATGGAATTTCCCTTGCTGTAATATTGAGTGGCTCAATAGCGCGATATGCGTTATTACCGCCATTTATTTATTTAAATTTATATGTTTTTGTTGCTATATAAATAAAGTTTACGATGTGGACAAAAACGAGGACATTTTCAGTAAGCATTGTAACCGAAACTAAACAGCGTCTACAGTATATGCGCATTGAAAGACTTTCACTCAGCCCGCATATTGTTATGACAACGGACTTTGAGCGAGTCATTGAACCGTTCATTCAACGAACACGTTTAAAAAAGCTGATTCATTAAAAGAGATGTAAAGAAACAATATGTTAATTATTTCTAACATTGATGTTCAACTTTTCAAGGCTCAGCTGAGCAGCAATGCGTCGCATAGGCAACGCTGAAGCTGATGCTTCACTTATTAGAGACCCATTGATTCAATGCGTGACTCACTGATTTTATTTCGGCTTCCTTGTGCTGTGGGATGTTGAACAGCGCTGCTGCTGACGCGCATTTATGGGAAAATACACGTGAAGAGAACGTTAAAATGATGATGCAACAAATATTTCGCTTCCCTTTGACACGACAAGCTTTTCACGATTTCAAAGACAGACGCAGGTAATTGCACGCGCTCTGCCGATCTCTCTCATTCACTGTCTGTGTGAAGCCTGTAGGCTACACATCACCATGATAAACAGTCTTGTTATCATTATGAACTGGTTTAACATTCAATACACATGCATTACGTTCAAAACAAGTAGGTATAGCCTTATATATAAAAAAAACGTAAATATCGCGGTTGCTGCGGTTACGTGCAATCCTCTGCGGTTGTCTTGTCAGAAGCGCGGTAGCTACTACAATATTGCGGTTACCGCGACAGCCCTAATTAACATACATTAATAATCATGAAAAATATTTTGAATTGAACTCGAGTGGACTTGGGAATAAGTCCGAGTCCTAAAAAAAAAATGTTCGAGTCCGAGTCAATTCCGAGTCCAAATGCACACGAGTCCATGACAAGACCAAGACCATTAAAATATGGTCTCGAGACCGAGTCCGAGACGAGTCCGAGTCTCGAGTACTACAACACTGTTTCACAATCTGCTCAGTTACTGGGATTTTCACACACAACCATTTCTAGGGTTTACAAAGAATGGTGTGAAAAGGGAAAACATCCAGTATGCGGCAGTCCTGTGGGCCAAAATGCCTTGTTGATGCGAGAGGTCAGAGGAGAATGGGCCGACTGATTCAAGCTGATAGAAGAGCAACTTTGACTGAAATAACCACTCGTTACAACCGAGGTATTCAGCAAAGCATTTGTGAAGCCACAACACACACAACCTTGAGGCGGATGGGCTACAACAGCAGAAGACCCCACCGGGTACCACTCATCTCCACTACAAGGAAAAAGAGGCTACAGTCTGCAAGAGCTCACCAAAATTTGGACAGTTGAAGACTGGAAAAATGTCGCCTGGTCTGATGAGTCTCGATTTCTATTGAGATATACAGAATTTGGCGTAAACCGAATGAGAACATGGATCCATCATGCCTTGTTCCCACTGTGCAGGCTGGTGGTGGTGGTGTAATGGTGTGAGGGATGTTTTCTTGGCACACTTTAGGCCCCTTAGTGCCAATTGGGCATTGATTAAATGCCACGGACTACCTGAGCATTGTTTCTGACCATGTCCATCCCTTTATGGCCACCATGTCCCCATCTTCTGATGGCTACTTCCAGCAAGATAATGCACCATGTCACAAAGCTCGAATCATTTCAAATTGGTTTCTTGAACATGACAATGAGTTGACTGTACTAAAATGGCCCCACAGTCACCAGATCTCAACCCAATAGAGCATCTTTGGGATGTGGTGGAATGGGAGCTTCATGATCTGGATGTGCATCCCACAAATCTATACTGATAATTTGTTGGTATATGGCACGTTCATTTTGAAGGAAAAACAACACATGAAAAAGAAAGAAGATGGTTGATACTTTACTCGGATAATGGACAGGGTCTTCTGAAAATGCGACCATCCACAATGCTTGAAGAATTCCTGCTGCACAAACCAGTCCCGCACCCTCTGTCAATTAAAGATCAAGTCTTTGTTAAAGAGCTGCTTTAATCTTATTATATTATAAAGCCAAATGTTAAAAATTGTTAGAAATATATTCATACCTTTTTCAATTCTCAAGATTCTCGTGTAAAAATACACCATTGCTCCACTCATCACAATCATCATAAACCATATCAGTTTATATACACAAAGACCTAAAAGATGAAATAAATAGTAAAATAAAAAATAAAAAAAATGACACAACTTTTATTAGAACCACAAAATATCCTTTTAAAACAGAAATATATTCTGGAGACACTGATTTACTAATTTAAGTAGCCTGCAGAGAGACAGAACCAGGTCTAACACATTTATGTGTATATTTAACTGTACAAATAAATAAATAAATACCCATGACATGCATTTATCTAATCCTTTTCCTACAGCATATATAAATTATTTCTGCAGTCATAACGGAGCTGTCTCACACTTACAGCATCGGTTTATCCAACTTATTCTGCCAAAACAGTGATGAATCCCAGGAACTACTGTCAGAACTGTAATGATAAACACTAAAAAAGAAAGAGGTAGTTAGAGAAAAGTTAACAATTTACAATTAGGTTTATTAGTTAATGTATTAACTAACATGACCTAACAATGAGCAATACAGTTGTTATAGTATTTATAAATTTTTATAAACAATTTTAATGAATTTCTCTCACACCATAAAAGGTGTGCGTCACAGTTTTATGTAAAGAGCACACTCAGGGCTTTTAGAGCTACCAAATGTTTTTTTCAGGTCTTTAAAAATGACTGACATTCATTTTGAGATCAAATTTACCACTCATTATGAAACTATTTTGTCATTATCATTTAAATTGGATTCATTTTTCAAATTCAAGTTTTGTTCTAAATTAACATCTCAGGAAAATCATGGGGTTTCTAAACAAAATATAACTTTCATATTACAGAATAGGGCATTGAATTCAAAGTGAACTACTCCTTTAAAGAGTAACTAAACACTAAACCAACTTTTTTTAGTTAATGATCTGTAAGAATGGATCTTTATTAATACCAGTCATTGATTCGAGTAACTTTTTTTTACATTTGTTTATAAAGTGTTCTATTTTTACAATATATGGTGTAAAAACGTCTTAGTGCTGCCCTCTTTAGGTTGAACGGTGGCTACTGCAGTTGAATTTTCCTATTGGATGTTCGGCACTTCGTGACGTACGCAGGTTTCAGCTCACCACGCGAGCTACGCCCTTGGCAGTATAAAAACTATCTTGTGTCGTCAAAACCACAGTAGGGAGTCAGGAATTGGAATTGTGAGTATTGAAAACGATCAGGATAGAGTGTTTTAGCATCTATTTCGTCCCCTCTATCTCCGCTGGGGTCTGCCCACTTTTACAGCATTTTCAAATATTACCAGTCGGTGGAGTCAGGTTTAGTTAAAGAGAGTTTTACCATTTAATTGATCTGTGCATGCATTTTAGACACTTAAGTTACATTGTTCTTGCTCCGTCAGTGCAATAACTGCGTCCATGTTATGAGCCGAGTTTTTTATTTACTTTAACTGCTCAGTGCTCTGATAATCATGTAATTCTCAATCAGTCTCTACTCAAAAGTTCTTGCTTACCAGCACCGAAGTCAAAGCAAGTGTAGAGCAGAAGGGCGAGCTGCAATGCAGGCAGCAATGAAAAGCTACAAGTAGCTACAAGCGGCTGAACTTTACTGTACACCTTTCTGCATAACTCTCCAGAGCATGACAGCATCTTCTCTTTAGTCAATTCTGTACAAAAATAAATAAATAAAACCAATTGTGAATTCAATTCAATATGTAGCAAGCAATACATCTTTGCACTAATGTTAAATAATGTTCTATGGACTTTAAAGGGGTGATGAACTGAGAAATCAAATTTTCCTTGAGCTTTTGACATCTAAGAGGTCATCATATTATAGGAATATCCTGTAAGTTTCAGTACTGGAAACGTCCTTGTTAGTCCAATAAAAGCTTTTATTGACACGAGGCTCAGCAAATGACTCGTTTTGGATCTATATTGGATCTGACAGGAATTGTGCAACACACAGACTCTGGGTCGAACATGTATGGGCGAATCCAGTTGCCATTTTAGACGTTTTCCCCCATGTGCACCGACGGGTGAGTTAAACTCATTATAATATGCAAAACTGTTCTCCACTCGCAGCAGTGGGCGTTTACTTCCAAGTCTTCAGTGCGACACGCCCATAAAAACCGACCGTTTTTCAGGAAGGCTCAAAACTAGGGTACAAAATAGCCTATTACTTATTCATTTTGATGTTTTTTGAATGCAAAAACCAAGCGAACGTCATAAGTTGACCTCAGATAACAATTTAATACAATTTAAAAAGCCAGTTTATGACCCCTTTAAGCGTCAAGACCAATCATGTGGTTATGCAAATGATGGATAAATTAATTTTAAGAGCTGAAATATGTAAATTGTGCAAGATTGTACAAAGATTTCCTGTCCAAGTTTTCATTGTAAAAAAAAGTGAATGTCGTTTTCAACTGTGCAAGCTGAGAATGTTGGATAACCACTCACGTGTGATGAAGAGGAGACACACCAGGACAAGTGTACAAAAGAAGACAGTTCTGGTGACTGTGTTGATGTCTTCGAAATGTTCCGCTAAAAGGACTGACACAGACATATATTGTTCATTTAAACACTGAATGAATGAGTTTGGCGGATGAAAATAACAAATACACTACTTTTGTTTTACAACAGACACAAACTAAATTCTTGTCAGAAAATTGAGTGCAATTTCAAATACAAAACACAGTGGCAAATAAAGGGGCTTTATATAAGGACTCCCTGGAAGAAGAGATTTTTATCTCAATGGGACTATCCTGGTAAAATAAAAGATAAATCAACAAATAAGAAAAGCTATAATTTTACAATGTTGTAAGATTATTAGAATATTACTATGACACCTACATATACATTTCGAGAGCAACACTTTTTACTGTTTACTGTAATTTCATCATTACAATAATCATTGTGGATTTACCTGAATACATTACTGCCATAAATACTGCATGGCCAGCATGGGGAGTCTTAATATACTTCAGAATTGTATCTGCAAAATAATAATAATAATAATAAAGCACTAAAACAGTATTAAATCAGAAATGTAATTTTTGATGAATCCATTTCAGTTAGAGAAATGTAAATAAATCTTAGTACACACAAATATCATGCAAGTGTTGTGTAGTATTTGATTTATAAAACCAACCTGGTTCACCTGTGGCTAATGGTGTAACCCAAAATGACCTCAGCGGGTTCAGAATATAGAGCACACAGCAACAGACGGTCTCCCACAAAGAACCTGAAACACATTATTTCTGTGATGAAATGAAATACTCTACAACTCAGAAAGTCAGTCTGACTGACCATTTGTACAGTCCTTCTAAAACAATGAATTATACTGCACCTTAACAGAACTAAATTAATGGTAAGGTCTATGTTGTGATGCGAATGTAATAGATTTTAGATAAAACAGTTGATGAAATACCTTCAATAACACGCCAGGTGATAGAAGCCAACACCATAGTAATATTCGGGAAA